TTGAAATCAATGGACTTAGGCATGCCTAACTGCAAGAGATCAGATCAAGAGTGCTTACCTTGTGGACATTTGGGAGACACTCTGGAAGGATGCATGCTTGCCAAGTACAATTTAAACTGACTTTAAGAGAGACTGAATGAGAATGCTTGATTGGCCAAATAGAGAGAGAGCTACAGTTCCTGAAAACTTAGGTCTGATTAAGTAGATGCTAAAGGAAGAATTCATTGCTGTTCAAAGAAATGCACTGGGTTTCATCTAAACAAAATCACCAATATAAACAAACTTAATGGCTGGTGAGTGACTTTATTGCCAATTTCTTATGCAAAGGAGCTTAATTTTGGCAAGTATTTAGCCTTACCCATAGGTGATGGCCATATAGTGTCTCATTATAGATAAACAAGTTAAATGCACCACTTAAAGTCTGCTTACACAGAGCTGCTTTTACAAGGCTTCTGGACAGGGATGGGTTGCTCATGGGACTAGAAGGAATTTTATGAGCCTGATAATTTTTTTAATGCTTCGAAGTGGCAATACAGTGTTAGAACAGCAATGATCTTTTACAACTTTGGACCCACAGCATCTCTGTGGATAAGATGACGATTCAAATGTGTATTGATTAAATGAAAGAATTTGTGGCTTCAGCTGTATCCAGAGTGAATTGTCGAATTTAATTAAGAATGTGCAAAGCTGGGAAGGGAATCATCCAAGCATTCGTGCTTTGGCATCATTAAAATAATTAAGAGAGGGTATGGAAAGACAAAAACTAATTGAGTTCACAGAATTCTGTGTTCATTATGCTTATGTTGGCTCCACTTTCAGAATGTTACAGACTGCCCAGTCTCCAGTCATGCTTGAGAGGAAAGGATGTCCATTTCTCTACTGGTTTTAGATCAAATTGCTCCACATCCAGTGTAATGGAAAGCGAAAGTAGGCTTAGCCTGATGAGGCAAGTGTGGAGGAATTACTTGAGAATGTCTGGACATGAATGCAAATCCTTGTGCAGTAGTCTCTTGGTATCCAGGACTAAACTGATATTGTTGAGGGCTTCCTTGCCATTCAGTCTTTCTGGCAAGCAGGGCTCTAGTCGGGGGGGAGCTCTCAGGTACGGAGCTCCGGAAGAGAACCTCTAGGGGGCGGGGCGGTCACGTGGTGAAGCCCCGCCCCCTTCTTTACCCCGCCCTCTGCTTCGATCCTCATTCCGTTTGGGAATGAGGATGAAGCAGGAGGGTAAGTAGCCGGGCTTTCTGACACACTTCCAGTAATGTCAGGGGGTGTGGCCTTCTGTCACTTCCGGTGATGTCAGGGGGCGTGGCATATGCAAATAAGTTATGCTAATGAGTTATGCTAATGAGCTCCGGCAGCTCTTTTTCTACAACAAGACCCCTGCTGGCAAGCATCTGTTTTCAACCAGTGGCCCAAAAGATGTTGTTCAGAATTGGTAGCCAACATTTTGGGGTTATAGGAGGTCCACCAACAGTAATGTTCACTGCTCTCTGTTTTCTTGACTTGCTCTGATGTGTATGCTTTCATTTTATGTATCTCAGTTTCCATTTACATTTAGAGTTGGATCATACATGAGATAAAAATAGGAAAAGAAGCAGAAAAATCTTGTGCTGTTTTCTGTCTTATGGAAAGTAGGACTTGCAGATCTTCCTGTGAGAACATTAAGTAGCAGTAACTACTTGTGGCTTAAGCCAGGGGTGTCAAACTCATTTGCTATGAGGGCCAGATCTGATATAAATGAGATGTTGTTGGGCTGGGCCACATCTGTCATAAAATGTAATGCCAGGTAGTGGAGTTTATAAATTTATAAGACACAAACACAATTAAAGATTTTACATGCTTAAAACACTAGCACTCTTGCAATATGTTGTTTCTGATAACTGACACCTCTTGCTCTGAATTATTGCATCAAAATGTCTGTACTGTAGCAATCTTGAGTATGCTTTTCAGGTGTGTATCTGTAAGCTGCAATCCTACTTTTGATTTATTGACATTCATTTCAGAAATCTCATGCTCAATGTTCTGAGCCTAGGACCCAGGGGAAAATATGAAGTGGCTGGGCATTTTATTTTATTTATTTTTATTTATTGTATTTATTTTTAAATTTATATCCCGCCCTCCCCGAAGGCTCAGGGCGGCTCACAAGGGGCATAAATGCCGAGGTTAAAACAATAAAACGACACAAAACAGTCAAAAACATGAGAAGGCATCCTGACACACACACTGAAGTCTATGTGTTTGTCTAATTAGGGAGCGGTGGCGCAGGTGGTTAAACACCTGCTGTAATAACATCTACGAACTGCTGTAGCAGTTCGATACCCACCGTGGCCAGATTGAGCACCTGGCCCTTTGTCCCAGCTCCCGCCAACCCAGCGGTTCGAAA